TCATCCCCTGCCCGTCATCCTTAGGCTCCGGCTTGCCAACCCACTTCTCACTCAGAAAGCCTCCAAGTAATGTCCCATACGTCAAGACACCAACCCCGTGCCGCTCACAAACCCCCGCCATCCGGCCCCTCGTCAACCGGCGATCGATAACGGAGCACGAGACCTGGTTCGTGGCGATTTCGTGGCCAGAGTGAAGGAGAAGCTCTAAATGCGCCGCGTCGACGTTGGTGAGCCCTATATGTGCAATTTTGCCCCGTTGTTGGAGGGCGCGCAGGTGAGATAGGTTGTAGAGGTACGTGTCGTCGGTGTAGTCCCAAACATGGTACTGCATCAGCGCGATCTGCTTCTGGCCCATTCTTGTGAGGGCGAGATCGACGGCTGCCTCTGCTGTCTTGAAGGACCTGTCGCCTGTCTCAGCGGGACACCATTTTGTAAAGGCCGTGATGGGGGGTAAAGTGTAGTTGTCATTGTGGTTGTGGTGGCCGATGACGAGCTCTGCGGGGCCGTAGTGGTCTGCCATGTCGAAGCCATCGAGGCCAGCTTGGATTCTGCCAAAGGATGTCAGTAAGCTTCCGTACAGTTGAATTTTAGGATGCATGTCGTACAAGGGCTTCATCGCGTCTGCTGCTGCCGCGACGTTAATATCTTGGTCGTGCCCGCCGGCGAGTTGCCAGAGGCCGTTTAGGATGCGGGGTATCTCGATTGACCCCGCGATGGTCGTCCGCTCGACTTTTGGCAGCGATTTCGCAGTCATTTTTCTTGATGTTTCTGGAGTGTAGGCTTGCAAACTGACTCCCAAAACCAGAGTGTAGTGAGGTGAAAGGTTGTCATGTTTGAACCAGTCACAAGGTGAGGGGAAGTTGTTGCTTAACAATAAAGTCTGCCCAACTCTGGCCCCCAAGTGGCCTTCATATCACATCTCAAATTCACAACTGTGAGTAAAGTTTCATCAATGATTCTATTGACAATATCGCATACAGCACCATCGCAAATCCCGGGATTTCTCATGTTCTAGGGATATTCTCCGTCGGTCAGAAGCCGCAGAATTGAGCGCTGAGCCTCACTTCAAGTAGCTACGATTATATCTCTCCGGAAATTGTCCAATGATATCAGCTAGCACCTGAACGGCCGTGTATCTGGACTACAAATAACAAAGTCAGCCAAGATCATATCGCTAGTGTTTCTCCGTGAGTGAGGACTTACGCTGGTTCGGCACTGAGAAATGGCCATGCCGGCAAAGTAGAGATTCGAATCTGTTCAAACTCAAGTTAGCACCGTGATCTTTAAACACCAACACCAGAAAGAGAAGCAAAGATACTCACGGCCAGAAAACGTTGTAAGCCCAGGAACCTCGCCCTCCTCATCCACCCCAAAAGCACTCACATTCACCAACTTGCCCGCCGTCTCCTCGTCAACGAACCCACTCCTCTTCCACCTAGCAGGCAAATCCACAACCTCATACCCAGTCGCCAGCACCACCCCATCCGCCTCAACAACACTCTCGTTCCCCGTCTCCCTATCCCTCACCACGACACCCTCCTCCACGAACCCAACAGCATCGCCCCTCGCAATCTGAATCCGCCCCCCAAACACGAGATCAAACGTCCCCGGCTGGTCAACGTAGAACGAGCTGCCTCGCTCCTCAAACACCTTGGTCATCAAACACGTATCCCGCTCAACGGCGTACCCCAGCCCCTCGAGCGCCAGACTCCTATCCTCCGCCCCCGCGATCGCCATCCCGATCGCCCCGCGCGCCATGTCCCGCATCATCCCGACCGGCAGCGACTCCTGCAGGAAATCCGCCGTGTCGACGGGTATGTCGCCCTGGTACCGCATCATGAGGATCGGCGCCACCGTCGCGAAGTCGAGGAGCACCGTCGGGCTGCGCTGGAGGATCGTAACGCTTTTGACGTCCGGGTCTGAAGCGAGGTTGCCTGCGACATCGTGCGCCGAGTTACCTACCCCGACTATGAGGACGCGCTTGCTTTTGTAGTCTGCCGGGTTGCGGTACTCTGACGTATGCTGCACCGGTCCCGTGAAGAGTTCCCTGCCTTTCAGCTTCGGGACGCGGGGGTTATCGTTGCCGACGAGGAAGCCGTTGGCAAGGAGTAGATTCTTCGCCTTGAGCGTCATCTCCTCCCCCGTCTTCACGTCCCTGACCTCCACCGTCCAGACCTTCTCCTCTTCGCTCCAGGTGTTCTTCGTCACAGCGACCCCGCCGAAGAAAGGCAACCCGAGCTCCTCAACCGCCGACGAAAAGTACCGCGTGAGATCCGTACCCTTGAGATATTTGGGATACCCCTCGGGCACCGGGAACCGCGGCAGCTGGATCATGAAAGCGGGGTGGTGGAGCGTGACGTTCTCGTACCGCTTCGTCGACCAGTTCCCGCCCGCCTGAGGCTCGGCGTCGAAGACGGCTACGTTTGCGCCCGCGGCGTCGAGCTGGATTGCGTTGGCGATACCGGTGCAGCTTCCGCCTACGACGACGGCGTCCAGGACTGCGTTGCCGTCGAGGCGGGGGAGACCTTGTGCGTGGGGGTTGCCGCGCTGAGAGGGCTCGATTAGGGATGGGCTTGTTCGGGGGAGAGTGCCAAAGGGTTTCTCGTCGAGTTCGACTACGGCTGTTGTCAGGACGCAGATCTGCCAGCCTTTGTTATCCGGCCCGGGGATGAGTTTGGCGAGGCCGATGCACTTTGACGCCGGCGCCTCGGTACGGAAACTGAACGGCACGTCTAGCGTCGCGAACACGGGGCCCAGACGCGCCCATACGGCGTCCATATCCATGTCCTTGTCCTTGTCACTCGAGAAGGCCAAGGGCCGCCGTGTTTTGGAGAGAGTCTTCCACGCTGCAACGACATCGTCCCGTGTATGGATCGTTCGCTTGTCAAAGGTGAGAGTCAAGTGGTCTCTCCAGAAGCACTTTTCGGCAAAAAGGTTTCCAAAGGCGTCCCAATCGCCCTCGCGGATGGCGGAGGAGAAGATGTTGAGGAAGGAAGCTGCTTCCTTTGCGGCGTTGATGTTTTCTTCGCCGTCGAGGGGAGGGACTGCGGGGATGTGGGAGGGGAGGGTGCGGACTGGGACGCGGGTTCGCTGCTTTGTCTTTGTCGTCATTGTCGCTAATGGGACTCTGGAAGTTTGAAACTGTGTAAGTTTGTATGGTGAGTAGGAAAGTTTTCAACTGTGGTTGAGTTTCGTGTAAGTCTGTCCTCGGAATCTTCAAGAGCGGGAGACGGCAGCCCCTTTTATCGTTTCCTATCAAGACACGTAGTCTAGTCCAAGGGACTACTATGCCCTTACATTTTCGCACCGTCCAAAGCTACCAGCAGTGAGACTTCCATAATGAGGAAACGAGGGGGGTTGCGTTCGTCAGATTGGAAAACGAACAAAGCCACGAGCGTTTGGTGGCTTTCTCTCACCCGTCGATCCCCTCTGTACGGAAATATCGGAGGTATCACAAGAATCTTACACGCAGCGGCCCTGCAAGCTGTTAGTGTGGCGGGGAAATGGGGTTGGTGGTTCGAAGCTCCTACGGGTTGCCCGATTCGGAAATGGGGACGTATCATGTTTGAATTTGGTATGTGTGTGTACCCTTTCCAAGGTAGGGTGTGTAAGAGATGACTGCCGCTGGTATAGTCTAGGTGAATGAACGTCAAGAGCTCATCGTCCATGCCCGTAAAAAGACTTCTAGAAGGAACTTCGTGAGGGACCGTCTTGGAATACGAGTGCGGGTTAGTGCAAGCGGAGGAAGAGTAACACTGCAGAGGGGCCGATCCGGAGATACCCACGCGCCCCGCTTCTCCGCCCGGCCGCCGGTGCCTCCGCCCGCATTTCTCAGTGCCATTGAGCCAATCGCCTCCGACACCTTTCCTTGGCTCGTATTCCTCCCGGGCTTATGACGCCGGGCCGGATTATCAATGTCCATCCTGATGCCAACAGCTCTAAGCGTTACTGTTCACGCAATACACGTTGTCTGACAAAGGTTACGTGGAAGGTATCCAGGGACCTACATAGGTACCTTACTCTAGCATGAACTTTGTCATCAACCAGTGCTTCATTGGATAGCGGGATCATTTCTGGAGTAGGTGCAGTTAACGCGCTGCTCGGATACTATCTGGCCTCTAGATGATGGCTTTCCCCTGGTCCCATACGGACTTAAGATGGAGGGACCCATTCAAGAGAAGAAGACGAGTAAGGGATTACGAAACAAGAAAAAAAACATCCACCTTGCGATTGCTAATGATATCAGTAGTAGTGGATGGCTACTTGTTCAGAATGCATACAATCCATTGTTTCCACGCGAGGTATGGCACCTCTACCAGTCAGGTGTTTACGTGATGTAAGGTACCTTAGTTCAAGATAAATTAATGAAGCTTCAGTGACTGAAATCGAGGGCGATCATGATTGTCCACCTTGAAGTACTGCGTAAAGGTACATCACCTTGCGAACTTGAAGTCCAATGACGCCATTGTAACCCAAATTGCGCAGAGTCATTATCGTGGCTTAGCTAATCATATTACCCGCCAGCTGCGGCGCAGTGACCTGCTTGAAATGGCCAAGCTCTGCCCCGTGCCCCCTCACTGGGCCCCATGGCAACGGATCCAACGCTGTGCGATAAGCACCTCTTCTGCCTGCTTAGGTAAGAAACCGCGGGCGATAAGACCAAAACCCCAGACATGTCGGCCCGTATCGGCGTAGGCTCATTCGTCGGAGCCAATCGAAGCTTCCGGCGGGTCGCAGATCCGCTCGGTTCCAGCTGCCCCGTGCCTCTCGTTCCTGCGCCTGCCGTGTTGTGCCTGTGACTCGGACGGGAAGCTCCAGCTGAGGTGTCTTCAACGGCCAACCTCTACGATTCCCACTCCGCCTCTTTCTACCTTGTCACCTTGACTGTCTGACCTTGATTCTTCTACTCTCTACAACATCAACCACGCACCTATCCTCCACAGCATCGCGCAACCTCACCCATTCCAATCCTCAGGCAGCGTGCATCGCATTGAGGGTCAATGAACCGCTTCCTTATCACCAACTCAAACGCCACCGTTCAAGCAACACATCCTCTCCACGCTTCGCCCGCCATGACCAAGCACACCCCCGACTCCCTTCGCTCCCGCGTCTCTTCCCTCTCTCTCCGCCTCCAAGCAATGGAGCACGCCGAAGCTCTCTCGCGCTCTCAATCTCCCGCGCCCTCCATGTCCGCCTCCACTACCACCACCCTCGCCCCCGGCCCGGCTTCGAAGCACTTCCTCCTCGCCGACATGAACGGTCGCCCAGCCTCCCAGAACCCCGTCTGCGAGTCCTGCTGGAACACCCTCCGCTACAGCGAGGTCCGCCAAACCGTTCGCGCCGCCAACCCGGCCGCCTGCAAGCTCTGCGCCGTTGCCGCCAGTAAACCAGAGGCCTATACCCAGCCCTTTGTCGACTTCCTGTCCGAGAACCCCACAATCTTCCACGCCGTCTCCTACTTCAAGGACAAGCTCGCTGCTGCAGGATTTACTGAGCTTCCCGCCCGCGAAAGCTGGGCCTCCAAGGTCCAGCCCGGAGGCAAATACTGGACCACCCGCAATGGTTCTGCCCTTATCGCCTTCTCCGTCGGCGAGTCCTACAAGCCCGGCAACGGCGTCGCCATGATCGCCGGCCACATTGACGCCCTCACCGCCAAGCTCAAGCCTGTCAGCTCCAAGCCCACCCGTGCCGGGTATCACCAGCTCGGCGTCGCCCCTTACGCCGGCGCTCTCAACCAGACCTGGTGGGACCGCGACCTCTCCATCGGTGGCCGTGTTATCGTCCGCGATCCCGAGACCAACAAGACGTCTACCAAGCTCGTCCGCCTCGACTGGCCCATCGCCCGCATCCCCACCCTCGCACCCCACTTCGGCGTCGGCATGATGGGCCAAAACAACCCGGAGACCCAGGCCGTCCCCATCATCGGCCTCGACTCTTCCGACCCGGACGCTGCCTCCGCCACCCCCGTCGAACCCCTCGGCCCCAAGGGCGCCTTCGTCAACACCCAGCCCCCCAAGCTCGTCAAGCTCGTCTCCAAGGAGCTTGGCCTCGCCTCCCCTACCGAAATCGTAAACTGGGAACTCGAGCTCTACGACTCCCAGCCCGCGCAGACGGGTGGCCTCGATCGCGAATTTATCTTTGGCGGCCGCATCGACGACAAGGTTTGCTCCTGGGCCGCCCTCACCGGTCTCCTCGCGGCCGACTCGGACCCTAAGGATGGCATAATCAAGCTCGTGGCTCTCTTTGACGACGAGGAAATCGGATCCCTCCTCCGCCAGGGCGCCCGAGGCAACTTCCTCCCTCTCACAATCGAGCGCGCTGTTGAGGCCCTGAGCGAACACGCCGACGTTGCTTTTGGATCAAATGTTATCGGCCAGACCTTTGCCTCCTCCTTCCTCTTGTCCGCGGACGTGACCCACGCAGGAAACCCCAACTTCCTGGGCCTGTACCTGGACGAGCACATCCCCAAGCTCAACGTTGGTATCGCCATCTGCGGCGACAGCAACGGCCACATGACCACCGACGCCGTCTCCACGGCCATCCTCCAGCGTGTTGGCGAGCTGAGCGGGTCCGCGACGCAGACGTTCCAGATCCGCAACGATACCCGCAGCGGCGGCACTGTTGGACCCATGCTCAGCTCCGCCATGGGTGTAAGGGCTGCCGATGCGGGATTGCCGCAGTTGAGTATGCACTCCATCCGCGCCACGACCGGTGCGTTGGACCCTGGTTTGGGCGTCAAGTTCTTCAAGGGGTTCTTGGATCTCTTTGAAAAGGTTGATGCGGAGTGGCAGTAGTTGTTTCGTGATTATACCAAGATGGGACGGAGTAGAAGTGAACGTATATAAGTACTCTAGATATTTGTTAGGCGGGGGGGTATCAGTGGGTTGTTCAAGCGTGGCGTACTGCGTGGGCGTCACCGTAGAGGAGCACGAAGTTACGATTGCTTGTAGATTTATACAATATGTACCAGCACAAATTAGACGCATCATTTTGGATACGTTCCGAGTCAACATTCACGCAGCCATTTCTGAAAGACTGTTTCTGTTCCTCCTGTTATCCTGACAAGAATGCTAATGCGAATTAATAATGCTCCAAAATCTACTCATTTAGCCGTAAGCAGACCCTAGACCGAGACCCTATACCAACTCCTAATTATGATGGATCGACCGTCCCCCACGATCGCGCACAAGACTGTTCACCTGCCGAATCTCCATTGAATCCGCCTCCGACCCGCCCGACCGGACCCCCTCCTCATCATCGTCAGAAGCAGACCCTTCGTCGTCGTCATCGCTCGCCATCCCGCCCGCCTCTTCGAGCTGCTCCGTCTCCGCGTCGACGGGCTTCCTCCTCTTTTCGAAATCCTGCCTGTGCGCCTCGGCAATGATTTTGGAGAAGCTGCGCTGGATGGGCGTGATGCCGGACATGACTCTCTGTCTTAGCGTGCCGGATTCCTCGGCGCGGGGGTCGGATGATGCCGCCGGTCTGGCGGTTGTGGTAGCTGATGTGGTCGTAGCGCCGCCGCCGGTAGAAGCAGCGGGCGCTACTGCGGCCTCGCTGGTCGTTTCCTCTGGTACCTTGCCATCTTTACCAGCGTCACTTTCAATCGAAGACCGGGGCGCGACGAGGGGTTCGATGCGATAGGGGAGGGGAACGTCGCGGGAGGCTTTATATTGCGCGACGTTTGCGCAGTGTTCGTTTTCGACGCGGAAGAGGGTCCACATGCCGCGGCGGGAGACCTCGGCCATGGCGACGAGGAAGGAGACGATGGTGGAGTGTTGCGTGTCGTGGGTGAAGATTGCGTAAAAGATCCAGGCGAAGCGGAGGATGGGGTCGATGACCATGATGAAGTAGTAGGGCCAGCGTTTCTTGAGGGCCGTGATGTCGCGGAGGAGCCAGTGCCGGGATTGGGGTTGGAGAAGGGAGAAGTCCATGAAGAGGTCCCAGATTGCTGGGCTTTGGTTAGTATACGTACGACCGGCGATGGCATGAGGAAGAGGAGGGCTTACATGTGTAGATTGCGTTGATGGAGGAAAAGGTTATGAACATGGCGAGGTGGCCGTGGGTGTTGTTGATGCGGTACATGGAGAGGGAGACGGCGGCCATGATGGACATTGTGTATTTGCCGCCGTTGACGAGGTGAGGGAAGATGTTCCTCGTGTCCTTGTAACGACGCAGACATTGTAGGAAACGCCAGATCGGAGGCAGGGCGCCTAGGAAGCCGAGCAGCCGGGAGTGGCTGGAGTTGCACTGGGCTGGGTTCTCCCAGGCGTTGGCATATATACAGAAGAACAGCTCGACGTTCTGATAGAGGGTCAGTCGAGAACATCAAGGGGGGGCCAGATGGATGAGAACTTACACACATGGCGTATGTCAAGGAACAGTAGATATCGCCGAGGAAGAAGTCTCGGAACTCGACTGGGTACAAACCAGCCAGCAACAGGCGCCACTACATGTATCATTAGATTATATCTGTAGCAGAGAGAGGAGGTAAACAACTTACATGAGCGTACGTGAACCACCTTCGACTCCTTGCCATGAAAATGGGCGCGGGGAGGAAGATGATGAACACGGAAATAGCAATCAGGACCACGGGATAGTATTCATACACCTCGTTCGTCCCGTACTCGCTAAAGTTGAGCCATATGAATACCCCAAAGATGAAAGTGAACAAGCTAGGGAACTCGGCGAGCTGCCGCCAGTCGAGATTGTGCCGGGTATCGAATTCGAAGATAAAGGGGTAGTTGATCTTGTTCCGCGTCCAGATGGCACAGTTGAGACAAAACATGCAGAACAGGAGCAGCATCAAAAAGTACCCTCCGTAGATCTGCAAGAGGTAGCTGGTGCGTGACCGTACCTCGGGATCCTTGTCAAAGAGCAGCTGGCCACCAAAGACGGCGCCCTGGATGGCGAAAACCAGTCCAGTACCAAGGAGGATTCCGCAGCGGAATGCACTCCCAGATTCGTCTCCCGGTCTGCGGCTCAGACTTCGCAACTTGCCGGCCGCGAGTTTGTGGTTGCCACGCTCAAAGTACCGAGCATACAGGTCTTCCACCGCCTTGATATGGCCGTCCACAGCGTCACTGTTGACGAACCAAGACTTGCTGACTTTTTCGTTCATGTAGCGGTACTGGGGCCGGGCGTTGACAGCCTTGTCGTACTTTTTGTTCAGTTTGCGGAACGCAGTCCGATTCAGGAGAGCATAGGACTTGAGCAGTTCGAGCCCGCGGTAGAATTCCTGCAGAGCGAGCTTGAGCTTGCGTTTGGCGGTTCGGTACGGGACGTCATGTTCGTGGGGTCGTCGGATGTAGTCCCGTCCTGCGTCGCCGCCTTTCGGGCGCATGACTGGGGTCTGGGCCATTTTCGATAGTGCTTTGGAGTTTGGCCCCGGGCGGAAGATCTTGGACTTTACAGGATCGATCCAGCCGAGGGGGCCCTTTTGGGGACCGTCCGAGACGCCGTGTCCGCCGTTTAGGAAGTCGATCTCTGCCTGTTGCTTCTGGACATGCAGCTCTTGGGTCCGCCGGTTTCTCATCTCGTGCAGTTGGTCCTTGAGCAGACTCAGCCGTTCTCCGGCCTGGTCCTCCTTCAACTTGTAGAATGCCTCCACCTTTTCCAGCTCAGAGTCCAAAAAGTCAAAGAATTCCTTCTCCTTCTGCCGGACTAGGTCGATAGCCAGCCCTTGAAGCCCGTACTCTGGGTTCGTTCCTGATCGGTTCAGAGGTGACGCGTTCGAGAACAGGCGCCTGAGACCACCCCTCGGCGACGCATTATATGCAGATCCAATTGTCGCAGAGTGGGGGAGCCGTAGCGATGAAGGCGTGTTCTCGTGTTCGGTCGGGGGCGGGCCAGAAGAGCGAGGGGCATCGGCAATCATGGAGGCGCTTCTCTGCAAAGCCTGGCGGGTGGGCTGGTCGTCCTGGGCAGAAGCGGGCTGCGGGCTGGCATCACTCTGGTGCGACGGCACGCGCATTGCCGGCCCGGGCAGCTCAAAAGTCGCCTTGCGGTCCAAGGGGGCTCCAGTGTCATGATTCGGAGGCGTATGGACAAAGCTCCCGTATTGTAAATCGGTCGAACCGTTGTTTAACCCCTGACGTTCGTGGCTGGTGGAAACGGGAATCGCTCGTGCTGGTGTTGCGGGCTTTTGCCGTGCTGAGCCAACTGGAGCCGGGCTGTGGCGGAGCGACGTCCGCTCGTCGGGATTTCCGCCCCTCGAGTGTCCATGTTTCTGAGTATTGAATGGCGAATGGCTGTGGAAGAAGTTGGCGGCGATGCGGTTTTCACTCTTGCTGGCATTGTTTTGGGGGCTGCCGTTGGCGCGATTGATGGCGCGGGAGACGGCCTTGACGTACTTCTTGCCGGCCTTGTAGTTGAGGTACTTGATGCGCCATTCTATTTGAGATAATTGTCAGTAAGAGTAGAAGAATAGCCGAGAAGCCATTCGCAGAGAGACAAGGGCGGCGCGCACCTGGTACGAGGTCCTGCTCGAGCTCCTTTGCGAACTTCATGACGTAGTGGCGCCCGTTGCGCAGCGCGGCCTAAGTAAAAGGTACAGGAAAACAGCGTTTACCCAACGAATGGAAGAGGCAACGCCATGTAAACTCTATGAGGTGTATTGAAGTAGGAGCATGTGTGTATTTCGAGTTGAGTCGCACCGCCTCGTTCTCAGGTCGGCCCTTGTTTTTGTCGACGGGGATGGGGGAATTCAAGGTGTTTTGTTTTAGTCTTGTTTTTTCTTCGAGGTGCGCGCTTGGACGAAGCGTTCGCCTGCAACTTTCGGGCAGCCAAGCTTTTCGTTGCATCGCTTTTCAGTGCTTGCAGCTGCCAATTGCCCCCCGCCTTTTCTTTCGTCTGGTGTTCCGTTCCCTCAACTCTCATGTCTTATCGTTATCTGATTGCCCGAGTCAGTCCCAAACTGTCGATAAGGTACCAGTAACGGCTGTCGCCAATCGCAATCCAGTGTTACAGCACGTCTTTGCTATGACTGCCGATACCCGGCGCTGAAGGTCGCTGTATCCCGGGCTCTGGTGTTACCTAACGGTACCTGATAACGCTCGTCCCAGGCGACGGGAAGGTAAACTCAATTGACAAGACCCAAAAACGGTGTTGCTTAGGTCAGCTCGGAAAACGCGCCCCGAACGGTACGAAATACTTCCGCTTGCCCTGTAAGTGCCGTCCGTGCAACTGCCATTGCTTTTCCTCGCTGCGGCTTGTGATCCCTTCATCTTGACGTTTGACCACCCTTCCCAACCTCCCTGCCGACTTTCCATTAATGTGTCATCACAATGGGCTCAGCGGTCGGGGACACCATAGATCTATGGTTTTTCCTCAAGCTTCTCACTTCATGCCACTCAACAAGACCCATCTTGCGCGTACGAATTATCTCATTCAGAGAGCACCATGATGAGACCTCGGATCAGAGTTCAAGGGGTTCATCCGACCTCAGCAATGCATCTTTCAGGGCCCTGGACTGTCACGCTACCATCGCCATCTGGCACTGCTCTTCCCTGGTCACATCTTGGCTCGATCTGGGCTCGGCATAGACGGCCTGCTGATATGTGACTTGTGCTGCAACCAACTAGCAAGCAGACAAGGACCTGCCGCCTGCATACATGAAGCATCCATGACCCCGTCACGCCAGCAATTTCCTAGACGCTCTGGCTCCAGAGATATTGCCTGAATGGCCTCATGCGAGTCCACTGCTGTGTCAAGCAGCCTGTTGATCACAATCGGACTTTCTTTCCCAGACACAAAGGATGGACACATATTTACGACGGGGAGACGGCGAGGAGCTGTGGCTCAACGACCCATGCAGTTTTCACGATACGACGCCCTCAGCCGTCTGAAGAAAGGCAGACTAACCATAAACCGAGACTTGGCCCTTTTCAATATGCAGACTTCCAACAAGCACTCAATACGGCCTGCCCATCGCCAACTTGCAGCAAGCCAATGCACGGGTCGTTGGGCTGTCTCGACCCATTCGATCCTCTGGGCGCTTTCTGCCCCCAGTGGTCTCCAGTGCACTCCACGCATGTCGACGCGGCCGGGCGGAGCTGTCGTCAAGGATAAGCCTCGATGCCCTGCACTTCACCACATCGGGCAGCCCGTCGACCGGGCGGCCCTCCCCCAGTTCCCCGGGGCAAGGCAGCCTAAGCCTAGGTCCCTAGGACTCAGGAGGCCAAGGCCACAGAGGGTGTACGCTGTATCGAATGGTCCACTTGACGCGGTTGCGCCGAGAGGACATGGGAAGTCGACGGATACTGAGGAGAAAAGAACGCTGTCGACGGGAGCCGGGCCAATAGTCGATTCCCTTGAACGCCTTCGGGGCCGCCATGGGCAGGGCCAAGCCTTTCAACGGTCTGACGGCGGCTCATCATCAACTACCTACTCCAGTGCACGGAGTATTCACACATCTATATCCGCATGTGCCAACGGCGAGGTGGCAATGACAGCTTGACGCCATGCAGCCTGCACATGCAACGGGCGTGATCTCACCAGAGGTATTGGCTTCCAAGTTGCAGCTGCACGCAAGGCCGTTGCCCTTTGAACTCGCTTAGATCCAGGAATGTCGAGGGCGGAAAACCATGCGATTTCTATCCGCGAGACACACACACACATATACACACACGGCTGTGTCATGCTCACGAGGCGCGGGATCACCCAGGCCGAACCAAGACATTTCTTGCCTGTTTCGGCGCCTCATTCCCGGGCAAAATTGTCACATTCGCCGACGAGCATCACTCACTCATCTGATTCGATAGTACTGGCCACCTTCTGAGCTGTGAAGATAGCTGCAGACTCATAGCTATTCCGTTGCCCAGTATCTCGACATAAGAAGCTACAGGTGACCTGGCTTATAAGTGGGCGCGATTTGTGGGCTTCAAGGGGGGCACGGTCTCGCCCCCGACTTCGCGGTGACACCAACCATGAGTTCGCAAGTTGAGCAAGTTGTCACGGTCGTCAAGTCTCAAGGACTAGAGAGGTGAAGCGAACACAACCGATGATCTTTGTCTCACCACGGGAAGCGATCCGCAATGAATCCCGCGCCAACTCGCCCCCTTTCGTCAACAAGGTACGCGATCCTATCGCTGTGACAGCGCCTGCAGCGAGATGGCAGTTGCGCGGTCTCAATGTGCCCTGTGTGCGCATGGAAACGAATGTGCGGCAGACAGCGGAGACTCTCCCTTTGGGTACCAATTTTGTTTGGATCTGGTTGGGCTGGTTGGTTCGTTGGTTGTAACCTTTTTCCCCTTTTCTATCTGTTGGAACTTGGGGCTTTGGAGACGAGCTCCCCAATATGGGACAAGATGGACCCCATGTGCCGCATTATCGCATACGCCGCATTCAGTCCGCCCAACCCCATCACAAGGAAGAACCGGTCGCACTCAGAGGGTGGGCTCTTTTTGTTAGGAAGAGCCTGGGCAATCTTTGATTGTCCTTGCTTTTTTATGTACGAATCGGCGCATCTTTCTTTATGGAGGGGGAGAGATGGGGCGTGCCATGGCCCATGGGTAATGTGCAAGGCGTGTTTGTTCCTTTTCCCTCTCCGCAACACCCCCGTCAAGTTTGCTCGAATTCCCATAACTGCAACTCTGGTTGGGCGAAGGCGAGGGCTTCTTTACCAAGTTACCGGGTCAGTTGAACATCCCACAGCCTTGATTGGTTGCATACGGCTTGCCTCGAGGGTGCAAGTAGCTATCCGAGACACTGCGAAGCACACAACCCATCTATATCTGGTCTGGCTTCCCTCTTAGCCCCCCAGAGATACCCTTGCCTTGCCTGTCCTCACGTCCTCTTCCTGCGTCTCTCCGCACTCTCTTGTTGAGAATCAAGACTCTTGAAACGACGACAACTCTTCGACCTCTCTTGATCCCTCAACTCCATACTGTACGGCGGACCACCAAGATGACGCTCGAAACCAAGACTACGAATCTTGATGAGGCTATGGATCAGCCAAGTCTCTTACATAGAGCCTCTCAGAAGTGCCTGCGGGTTCTCAGAAAAGCTTCAATGAGAGAAAAGTCACGGCCTGACGACAAGTCAAGTACTAGCGCAAGATCTTTGGCCAGCAGATCATCGTTCAGGTCATCGTTCTCAACGTCATCTCTGTTCACGACGAAAACTATAGAGGAGGATCGTATGACCTTGGACCGGCCCATAGCAGAGGAACCTATAAGGGAAGAAGTCAGCTGCGATGGAAACAACTTGAACGAAAACCCCGCCGACGAAGAGTTTATGCAACAAGCGAGTTCAAATGCACCGAGGAAAGAGCATCACCAGGGCCAGTCGACCTTCTTTCGGCAGCTGCCCCCCGAAATCCGGCATCAGATATATAGACATTTCTGGGTCTCGGCTGGGGTCGAACGACATGCTTTTCTACGAAATAGGAAACTCTTGTTCTCTCCCTGTATCACAGATCATGAAGCGCCTGATGAGCGTCAAATCGGGGTCGCCAAAGACTTCCAAAAGTCCTCTTCCACAGCGGAGGTCCAGCCTCACCCGAAATGGTTCAAAAGGATGACGTCTCCTTGGTGTAATCACTGGAAATGCGAGAGGTTATGGGAGGACATACGAGACGGACGCGAAGTAGACGGGAACAAGAAGCAAGCTTACATGTCTCTTCTCCTGTCCTGTAAGCGGATGTGAGCTTACCCTCCTCTCCCTGCCCCGACGAGCAGTCCACTAATCATGACTCCCATTAGATACGACGAAAGCATAGAGTCCTTTAGGGAAGCCAAAACCCTAACAATAACCGACGGTCAAACCCTCCACCGCATTCTCCGCTGGCCCCGCCCCAGGTACCTCCATCAAGCTCGCCGCCTCAACATCTCCCTCCGCCACGACAGCGGCAACTTTCTTTACCTCAACGGCGCCTCCATGTGGCACATACTCTCCGAGCAGGAATCGTGCCAGGCGGAGAGCATCTACCTCTGGCTCGACGCCGACTGCCCCGTCACACGTCGCCTGCTGCCCGAGTTCCGCGAGCTGTACAACTGTGTACCGCCATCCGTCGCGGCCCGCTTGACTATTGATTTCCCCTGTGACGCCGAAGACGGGTTCTGGGCGTGGGAGGACGGGGTGGAGGTTGAATCGCGGGAGGGCGGTGGACAGCTGGAGAGGTTGGGTCCGCTGGTGCCTGAGTTCCGGGTCGTTGCGAGGGGGCGGCAAAGGTTTAATGAGACTTCGGCCGGATATGTTAGTTGTGTTGATCGGGGGAGCCCTAGGAGGAGAGTCTTGAGGGCGAGTAATCCGTTTGAGGATATTTTGCTCTATGGGAGAGGATTCGTTGATGGGTCATACGTCTAGTCGAAATTATGAGTCCATCACCGGTATTGATAGAGGCTACTAGGAGTTCTAATCTATGTTTCGAGGACGAAAGTTGCACCAAGGCTAAACTGGTAAGTTTCTGTCGGAACGAAAGCTTATTGAGAACCCTGAGCAGGATGGATCTAGCTCATTGCCCGAAGTGAACGAGAACTGCGATCTAGTCCCAGATTTCAACGCCATCTTTTAACTACTCTACCTTGCACCACGAATTCTCAGTCAATAGACATTTGTCACCTTGAGCTATTTCAAAAACACAGTCATCATCCATTCGACACGGCACCAACAGTCTACGTTCAGGGACTATTCAACAGATGGCTAGACCTATGTAGTCGTCATTGGCTTCCTTCCATGGATAGACCAACTACTCAAGTTAGCTCAATGATAAGCCGGATAGTAAGAATAACCCACATGTTATAGTAAGCATGAATGTTCCTGTTCGCAAAGTCTTTCCGAGCCTCCATGGCGAGGATAATGACCTCTTCTTTCGTCCAGTCGAGAGCTCGGGTCAGCGGCGCCATAAGAAAGCCCTCCCAATTAGGAGCAAAGTTCTCGTAGTTCCAGATCCCAATCTCCTTGTGCTTCTTATCCTTGGGCCAACTGTTGGTGGGCCATTTGAATCGCTGGATGTGCACGTCTTCGAAGCCAATCTCCTTGAGAACGCCCTCGAAACGGCTGAAATGCTCGTAGGGGACCCCTAACTTGGCGATCGCTTCACAGCAGAGACGAACGCTTTTCATCAGCGAGGTTTCCTCCGTGAGGGTCCCGTCGTCTGAGACGGGTACGGCGTCGATGTCGTTGAGCTCAAGGTAGCCGCCGTGGTTGAGGTTACTAGGATCATTTCTCAGCGTTCACAACTGTCTAAGAGAGACGTGGGGCTCACTCGAAGCAGTTCTGGAGGAATTGTCTCCAGTTTCTGATGCTGCCCGTCATCATGCGACTATGGATGTAATCGAAGGGCCTCGAGAACAGCCACGGCTCCTCGATGTCGTCAATTTCGAACTGCACATTCGGTGGCACGCTGAAATGCACTCGTCAGCTGAGAGCTTCGCTTGGAGGAAGCACCCTTCTTCCTACAATAGAGGCTGTATCGCCGACAGATCAACACCAATGACCTGTAAAGGAAATAAGCTTGTGTGAATTCTCTTACTGATACTGAGAAGATAAGTCCTCCTACCTCGGATTCTGGGTGTTCGTCGCCAAAGTCAATGGCCCAGATTCCGGATCCGGTGCCGATGTCGAGAACTCTGCCGACCTTTGCGTCTCGATCGTTTGGTGGCGCACTACCGAGTCGATCATCAAACGTCCGGATGAACAAATTGTGTTGAAGGTCTGATGCGGTCGTATCAGTCTCATTCTCGTTAAACTGGAGGCATGTACTAATAGCATCAGTCTAATGAGCAGATGACGTACCAAGGCGATCACTTTCTCTCTCGTCGTTAGGGGCGGCGTACTCTGGTAAGATCATAAGCATATTTCCTGATTGTTCCACTCTTTGCGGAGACTTCAAACTCACTGCCGTCCTTATACTTGTGGTAGGTTCGCCCATTTTCAATACGATACTCCAGAATAGAACTGGTCACACTCGTTGTAGACGAAGCCAGGCTTGCCTGTTGAAGCAAAGATGAGTTCAGAGTGTATATTGCTGAGGGATCAGTAGTAAGGCGTAGTAGTTGCTTACATTGCTCACCGATGAGCCATCGGTGTCAGTCTGGAAGGGAATACAGTCTCAGAATATGGAATCTCTACACCTTTTCGAGCACTTGAAAGGTCGCGAGAAATCATACCTCGTCAGCCGCCAGATGTTCATCATTCGTTGTTTGCATGGTATGACTTATGTCTCTGGTAGTGGGATGGCCTGATGGATTCTAGAGATAAGAGTGATTTTGCTATGTGTTGAAGAATTCCGTGGGGTTCCAACGAGGAAGTGGGAAGAGGTTCCACTGAAGAAGCGGGAGCGAGTGAGTATCGGTTCATTCGGCAAGGTAGCATGCAATATCTGCTCTCCATTGCTACCCCTCTTCCGCTAGGGTAGACAAGAAAATGTAATGTTCGATGTCACCCCTTGGTTGGTCGTGGTTGTGCATATCACCCCTGCAACTAGGAACAAATGCATGCGACTATGCGCCTGTGCGGCGTAGATACCAAACCTAGTGTCAGAAAGGCCACACACCGAGGTTGCGATGGTGGCTATCTATGTTGAGCAAAACGAAATCGAAGCCAACTTATTCTCCAAGTTGAGATCACCGCACCTGCACACAAGGAGAGAGAACAATTCTAGGTCCAAGAAAATTTTCTCATGTTGGAGCCTACGTTTTCCATTTAACACCCGTAGAGAAATGAGATTTCTCGCCCATTGTAAGTTGAATTCTCAAGCCTTCACGGGCTTCTTCCCATAGATAGACCAGCTATCAAAGTTAGTCATACAAATATCACGCTATCAAGAGAGCTCACTTACATCTGGAAGTAAGCATGTATGCTCGTATCATCAAAGTCCTTTCGCGCCTTGACAGCAAGTTCGTGAACTTCCTGCTCGGTCCATTTCAATCCGCGGGTAATCCCAGCCATGAACATGCCCTCCAAGTGCGGCGCAATATTTTCATGATTCCAGATCCCCAGCTCCCTGAACTTGGGGTCTTTTGGCCAGCTATTCGTCGGCCACTTGAACCGCTCAACGCGAACGTCCTCGAACCCGACCTCGGCCAGGACGCCTTCTAGGCGGTTAAACTTCTCAAACGGGGACCCGAGGATCGCGATAGCTTCGGACCAGAGGCTGAAGCTCTTCTTAAGGGTGCATTCCTCGGTGAGGGTGCCGTCATCGGAGGGGGATTGCATCAATGTCGTTGAGTTCGAGGTAACCTCCTGAGTTGAGGTTGCTGCGAGAGTTACGTGTGTTAGACGGCGGAGATGCTTTGTGCGTGTTTGTAGGAAGGAAGATGTGGGCAGAACTCACTCGAAGCAACGGCGGAGATAGATCTTCCAGTCTACTATGCTACCCGTCATCATTCGGCTGTGGATGTAGTCAAAGGGCAGCGAGAAGTGCCAGTCCTCTTCGATATCTTCGACCTGGAACTGCACATTTGGCGGCACGCTGTAGTGCAACGTTAGTTTTCGCATCAGAGACATGATAGTTGGTGTGGACTTAGGGAGGCTCATACAATGTTGGCTGAACAGCTGATAGGTCGACGCCAATGACCTGCGCATTGAGCGGTTATCATCTGTAAGACCTCGTTCCGTGACCCAGTCTACGACTTGCCTCGGCATCGGGATGCTCATCACCAAAGTCGATTGCCCAAATACCCGAACCGGTGCCCACGTCCAAGACCCTCCTGACGTTAGAGTCTCGTGCGTTGGGTGGTGCGGTTCCTAGTCTGTCGTCGAAGGTCCGGATGAAAAGGTTGTGCTGTAGATCTATTCCCCCGCGTGCTAATCAGTACCTAGAATTTGACCTCGATGTGTTGTTTTGAGGGAGAGCCTTACCGAGTCGATTGATTTCTTTACCGTCGTTGGGCAGATTATACTCTTGTCTTGTGAGTGATGCTGCAGCATGAAATTAGTTGCGTCCGAGAGCTTACTTCCGTCTTTGTATTTGTGATACGTCCGGCCGTTCTCGATGCGGTACTCGAGAATTGAGCTGGCTACGCTTGTTGTCGATGAAGCGAGACTTTGCTGTTCGATTATGAATGAGTTCCATGACAAACACGCTGATGAGGAAATAAGCATGGACGCTGGCTTACATGGCTCACGGAGGAATTATCGTTGACATTCTGTAAAGGAGACAAAGAATTAGTATCGGCATAGATGGCTGAACGTTTACATATCATCCTACCTCATTGGCCGCCAGTACATCATCGTTATTAACTGCCATGGCTGTGCTGAACCGCCAAAGAGCTGAATATTGCGAGCCTCTGGGATGCCGAAGGCGCGGGCTTTATCAAGTTGGTGGGGGCGTTGCGCTGAAGATATAGGAGTCAACCTGCATCTCGCATCATACCATTGCTCTCTGACCTCGGGGATTTACCCCCATCAAGAGTTGCCCTTCGCCCTTCCCCTCTTCTTGTCAGACAACAAATGCATGTTGGTTGTGAACATGCTCTCGATTCTGCATCTCGACCCTGGCACGTCCGGTGACAGGGACTGGCTGCATGGAATAGCATTTGGCGAGTGGCACGGGCAGTACCGGACGGCTACGCGGCTTGCACCCGCAAACCCTCGTTCCTCACCCGTAACTTGACACTCCCATCTTTATGGACTCGTATTAGGGTATTATACACTCAAAATACTGTGCTATCAATTCACATATGGCTCGTAAAGCTCTTTCATTCATTTTCGTGCGGAGTCCCAGGAGTCCAGGGAACTCCACTTCATTCTCCTTGAGTTCTGAAGGGTGTGGGACAAAGGTGCCTGGGCATGAGATGGTCTCTAAGAAATGCATATGAGTTTGGTCGTGGTAAATACATGGTAAATTGGGAAGTCATTATTGAGCCTTGAAGCTGTGATAGCAATTAAGTTGAAGGAAAGTTAAGTGGTGGCATCTTACGGGGGGAATGATAGTCGGCCGACATTCATATGTTTACCTCAGTAAGGATACGAAAAAATTGTATCCACAGGTTCGGCTTTCTAGATCACCGACAGATTTCTAGAGAACACAAAAATTGATTATTCGTAGGCTACAACTCAGTATAAGCTATCATTGTAGGCCAAATTGGGATTATCGAGTTTTAGTTCCACTCTTAGTCTTCGAGTCTCAGTGAAGGTCTTAATCTCGATGTGTCAAGTGGCACAACTCCGCATTCGGCTTGGCTTCCGAAGTCTTGGTTGCTATGCGAACGATACGAGCACTGCCTCGCGGAGCTCCATCGGCTTTAAACACCGTCCACCCATTTCTTCGGCCGGCGTCAACGTCAGCATCAGCGAATGGAGGCTCGGAATCTTGAACTCCCCGCCCTTCCGACTTCCCGCCAATCTTGGATCATAAACTCGAGATCTATAGAAAACCTGCTGAGTGGGTGTGTCTGCTGCCGGTAGATCTCACCTCTCTTTCCGGTAACATCACATAGGTGCTTCCAGGGGTTCGTCCGCGACTTCGGATAAGAACCAGGCCCATATCCGGCACGGAAGTGTCAAGGAGCATCGGACGGGATGGAGATCCTTCCGGAGCGGAGGATCGCAGCCAAAATTTCGAAGAAACCGCACAGGAAATCCAAGCTTGGATGCCACACTTGCAAAAGACGTAAAATCAAGGTTCGTCTGATGATATATTGCTACCCTGCACGCCATCTCTTCTTTTAGTGATGGATCCTTGGGCCCTACTGGGCTTAGTATCGTCCATACACCAGACCACAACACCTCGGCCGAATTCACACAATATGACCCATTCGCGCACCTCATATCCTTGACACTGCTTTACCTGCTAATGCTGGCTTTCCATAGTGTGACGAACTGAAGCCAGCATGTCAAAACTGCGTGCGTCACCTGGTGACGTGCGACTTCCTGCAAAGTCGCTCGATGGCGATATCGATGCGCAGCATGCAAATCACCTTGCAAACAAGCCTTGACGCCAGAAGCGCAGACGACCCAGAGACACCTATCAGACCGGCGCCAGCTATCGATCAAGCCCTCAACTTTGTCGATTTGGAGCTGATCCACAACTTCACTACCGCCGTATACATGACACTATCAACAGATGACCTCGTCCGCCAGATGTGGCGAGTCTCGGTAGTCCGCATGGCGCTTAAATGCGAGTATGTCATGCGAACTTTGCTCTCCATATCGGCTCTACATCTAGCCCACCAGCGGCCAGAACGAAAGGAGGCTCTCGTGGCTAAGGCCCTGCTTTATCATCGATCAGCCTCAAGAGAAGCAATGGAGTTGATGAGCGCTCTTGATGAACGAAATGCAGAGAACTTGTTCTTGTTTTCACTTCTTACAATATTTTTCGGTAAGTGATCACTACGTGATCGGATCACGAAATGAATTGTTGCACCTCGTTTTCCCCTTCCTATCTTCCAGTCAATTCGAAATTTCGCCTGCACGGGCAGTACGCTTACTTACGAAACTCAGCTCTGGCATCGGGACGCTATCTGAAGGAATCAGTGGTTGTCTGGGAATCCGCGTTCCCGGACTGGACATTCCTCCTATCCGGAGCTTGTTCTCTCATCAAACTCCTCAATTCGAAAAACTACGAGGGTCCCTTGACCCCTCTGTTGACATACGCAAAAGAACGATTCTTTACTGCGCGTGATGACTTGCGAGCTCGACCAGCCGCCTTGGAAAGTCTACGAAAGCGTGTCAGCAGCAGCAATATTGACAAAGAATTGCTACGCATCCACAATTTGGCCATTGACGAATTAGGTTACCCTCTTTCTCTTGCTCTGCACAGTGGGGGCCGTGGTATGGACATCATGGATATGTTCATCTGGAAATACTTCGTGTCGGATGAGTTCCTACCTTTACTTAAAGAGCCGAGGGCGAATCAAGAGGCCATTGTTATCTATGCCCACTTTTGTGTTGTGCTGAAGAGATTAGAGAGTCAGTGGTGGCTTCAGGGCTGGTCGATTCATCTTATATCACAGGCGTGGGAGTTGCTAGATGAGAGCCACAAGCCTTGGATCCAGTGGCCGATGGAGGAGCTAGGATGGGTGCCCCCAAGCTAATCATAGGGAATAACGTCATGAGCTATGGGACTTGGAAGCCAGTTCATGAAGATGAAACGGGTACCAAGCCGGGTAGTCGTAGCTTGTGTAACTATGGCAGCATCATGTAGGCGAGGCTGTCACCACAATCTTTGCGAAACCAGCAATGTAACGACTCAACGAAGAGACATATTGATAACTCAGTTGCACACAGAATAACCAAAAATCCGTGAGCGCGGTGTAATAGCGAATGCTGTGCCAGTTAAGGGGTTTACGGAATATACAATCAAGCACCACACACTGAGGAGCCAATGAGGAGTTACGATGCCTCCACTCCTTACGGCAATCAATTCCCTCGTATCGCATATCTTCCAACCTTGTTCGGCTAGGACGCCGCATATTCGAAGGAGACACCTGCTAAGCCGTCCATTTCTCTTATGATTCAACGGGAAACCATCGAGAACCACGTCCTTTTATCTTCCTGCAAGCAGCTCCATTTTAGGGCAAGCAGTCGCTCTGCTTCAGCCTGATACGCGGAAATCAATACCCTCATAGTTACCCCGAGACATTGATTAGTTTTTGTCCCGTTCCCTGCACCAACGGCCGATAATGGAAGAAGCAAGCTCAGTCATCAGTGTTACCAAGTTATTGCTTAAATAGGCAGGTTCTATCGTGCTTCTACAGTTGGACGAAAGGCCGTCTTGGCAGCGCTTGGCATACTAGCAGTAACAAGCAGTTGAATTAATACAGTGCAACCACACACCGCTAGCGCTAGTTATGAAGCTTGTCTGCCATTCGACCAACACCAAGACTCATCCCACGTCTTCCGCCCGGCCCCTCATGAAGGCCAGGTTGATCAACAGATCAATTTAAGCTTATCGGTCGAAGCCGGCGCCCGACCGTATCACGACGAGCATATTGTCCCCCTCAGCCTGATCGCTTCATGCAAGGAGAGAACCTCTGCCGGGCCACAGGACAAGTCCCCACACTAATCTGACTCTCTCTCGCTTGGCTATCAATAATACTTACTAACTTGACCACAGAACGGAGAAGGTAGCAGATATCGAACCCCGCGGTTTCCACGGGTGCTTTTTTGGAAACCCCGACTCAACCTCAGCTGCAACTGAGTCTTGGTATCAGCCAGATGAGGAAGGCGTATGAAGCAATGGAAAGACAAGTCTCGGGCTCGTTTCCGGTTTCCTTCTATCAGCTGACGCGCCTTTTTACTTTTGTAGTACAGTTGTCATTGGGCTTCCTGTTAGGGCATCGTTCCAAGCCGATTCAGCTCGCTGCAACGTACCAGGCAACTTTCAGAGCCCCGAGAATAGAAGCCCAACAACGACAAGATGACTTACATCAAGAGAGACTTAGGATCGAGTATATATAGCCTAGATCTCTTGCCATCAAGGTTCCCCTTCTTAGCTCGACATCCCTCTCAGTCTCGCAACTCCTATCCAAGTCGCCTGTTCGCTCCCCGGTCCCCGGCTCACTCTTGTCAATATGCACTTCAACCTCGCCCTCGTCGCGGCTCTTGCCGCCTCCGTTTCTGCCGCGGTCACCCCCGCCGTTAGATTCGGCTGTGCCACCGAGGAGCCGTCCGCCGAGCACATCGAGATCTCCAAGAAGCTTGCTGAGGAGGAGGCCGCCAATAACGGTACTGTCAGCCTGGCTGCTCTGGCCACCATCACCGTTCCTACCTACTTCCACATCGTGGCTTCCTCCCAGACTGTGGCCAATGGATACATCACCGTAAGATCTCTTAGCTTCATAGCTTCATGTTCTTTCTCCAGCTTCACTTTAAGCACGTTTCACAGAGGACGGTCACTTACATGGGATATGCGTGTAGGACAAGATGGTCACCGACCAGTTGGCCGTGATGAACTCCAACTTCGCCCCCCACGGCATCCAGTTCAACCTGGTCGAGACTACTCGTACCATTAACTCCGCCTGGGCCGGCTACAGCAGCCAGACCGCCATGAAGACTGCACTCCGCAAGGGTGACTACGGCAGTCTCAACCTGTACTTCCTCAAGAGCGTCGGAGGTGCTTTCGGAATCTGCACGTTCCCCACCACCGCCTCCCCCGGCTCCTCTGCTTTCATCGCCGACGGATGCACCATCCTGTCGTCCACCGTTCCCGGCGGAAGCGAGACCAACTTCAACCTTGGAAAGACTGCCACCCACGAGATTGGTCACTGGTTCGGTCTGTACCACACCTTCCAGGGCGGTTGCAACGGTGGAGACTCCGTTGCCGATACCCCTGCCCAGGCTAGCTCTTCTTCCGGATGCCCTGTCGGCCGTGACTCTTGCCCCAGCATCGCCGGCCTCGACCCCATCCACAACTACATGGACTACTCCTACGAGTAAGTTACTACCCCGCTTGGAATAACAAAAGCTTCTTGCTGACTTATGAAACAGCTCTTGCTACGAGGAGTTCACCGCTGGCCAGCAGACCCGCATGCTGAGCTTCTGGAACAACTACCGCGCCTAAGCTGTCCGCGTTTGCGCACCTAATTGACTTGGACACTGGCACGATATAACTACAGCTTACACCATGTAGCTTCTCTTGTGTGTATGTAGTTTGAATCCAAAGTTGTGCCTAAAAGAGCCTGAACTTCACGTTGTCAAGTTCTGTCTTCAAGCCTCAGACTATTGTCTTGCGTCCAGAATTACGGGGTTCCCGATGACCTTACCTTGTTCGTCGATATCATTGCAGAGTTCAACAGTAGACTTTAGGAGTTTTCTGAACAGGGAAGAGCAGAGGCAACTTGTAAGTTGCATGCCTCCCAGACAGGTGCTCTACGCAAGTTCTTCGCGTTTTGATCCACACCTTCTAAGTTACTTGAGGCTTTATCGCATCTTTTTGAATCACACAATATGAACTGCCGACGGAAGCTACTAAGCGCATTGAAATATTTGGCATCAATTTCCTTAGAGACTCAATGTCATTCATGGCTTGTTTAGGCTTTAGCCTACGGATAACTGCAACCTTGTCCCTGGCGTGCCATTCTCAACTCTCCACTTGCCTTCAAACTCTTTCCTCGACCGTACCGTGATAGGAATCGGCTCAGCAGGAGAATGCAACGCTACAAAGAGACCTTCAACCTTGGGCATTCTCCACTCCCTTCCAGACGGGCCTTCGCCCTTGAAATCTGGCGCAATTTCAAAGTCGAGTTTCAAAGTCATCAACGCAATCAGCGTCATAGTACCAGTAGTCGCAAACCACCGTGCAGGACAGACGTGAGGTGCCACGCCCCAAATGGGAAAGGAGTGAGGTGCCAAGTCCCCTGGAGAGGCTACGCCCGGCGCATCAGGCTTCTTCTTCATCTTTATGAACCGGTAGGCATCAAAGGAGGTAGGGTCTGGACCCCACGTTTCCTCGTTGCGGAGGATTGGAATGCCGTTGATCTGGACATAGTTGCCGCTTTTGAGGAGCTGAGTCTTATCGTCTACAGTGATTGTCGTGTCGCGAAGAACCTCTCGGATGTGTGCGTGGATGGTGTGCAGGCGCTGCGCCTCCTGAATCGAGGACAGTAGTAGCGGACATGCCGACTTGATGGCGGAGATGTCCAAGCTGAACTCGCCATTTTCGTCCTTCTTGACTGCCTTGCGTACTTCATCGCGGATCGCATCGACAAGCCACGGGCGAGAGAACACCTCAAAGACGGACCACCACGTTGTTGGGACGTAGTTGGCCAGCATGGCAATGTCAAAACCAACATTGATACGCCCAATATCGCGCGGCGATACTCCGTTTTCGGCCATAATCCGTGATCGACCCTTGAGAAGGCCTGAGGCTGTCTCTGTGCCCCCGAGGCGAACATATTCTTCGTATCGTAGACCGTTACGTTCCCGAGCTTGCATTGCCTTTTTCGCAAACAGCTCTGCAATGATACCTCCCGGAAGAAGCAAGTGTGCCTTATCAGCGAAGGTCCTGTAGATTGTCAGCTTCTCATCTAGAACTCAGTCCCCTCACACGAAGTCGTCAAGGGCTATCAGAAAGTACGTACCAAAAGTCAGCCTCATGATCAGGATTCTTGAAGGGGTTCAGAGGGCCGAACATCCCTTCCGTAGCTGATAGCCCAACGGCATGCTTCACCCAGGCGAATAGATCGATCGGAACACCTGTTTCGGGTGATTCGAGGGCATTTGCGGCTAATTTGTCAACAATTTCGAGTTTCACCTGGGTTGCAACGAGGCTCATGTCATCGAGCTCGGGACCAGCTGCCAGCGTCGTGCGCTGGACTCTATCGAATTCCTTGGCCTCCGGTCCACCTCCTAGGTGATCTTGCAAGTTGGTGGCCTTATCATCGGCACCGCTAAAGTTGTGAGCCGCCTTGGCTGCAAAGGGCGCAAAAGAGATTGTCCTAGCATTGCGCTGGATCGATTAGATGAATTTGCGTTCTGCGATAATGTAGAATTTGAAGGAGAAGATAGGTGCAGAAAAGATCTTTGACTTGGCGTCGGCCCTGTCGTATCAAGTCAGCCATAGGGTCACTTAATCCTTAAATCAAACAAGCGTGAACTTACCCAACCTTGGTAAAGTAGTTGCCAGAGCCGTACTTGTTCAGACCAAGAAGATGACCAATCAATGGTATGCGAGGTCTGATGTACTCTGGCTCTTGCGGATTTTTGGAGAGGAAGAAGAAGGACTCGAGCAAATAACAGCCGATGACGACAACCGCGAAGGCCGTGCCGGCTAGCGCAGGGAGCTCCATTTTGCAATGTTCTAGCCGTAAGATCTGTCGCGAAGAGAATGAAAAACACCAGAAAGCCAATAGGGACAATCGGGGTCATATATCAAAACCATTGACCTGCCGCAGATCCTTCAAGGGGCCATTCGTAATCGTATTGGGAGTTCGGCAGTCGGCTGTCAGCATCCTAAACCCTGTCAGGCATCGAGGATGCTCATTGATATCCCACTGGAACGTCTACACGAAAGCTGCATTTAGTTACTCCACAAAGCAGGGGTTGCGCTAGTTCGATTACCGGGCTGCGATAGACTAAGGAACCAGTCGAAGTCAGTAATTGCGTAGGATTGATTGGCTTGATGGACCGCCAGTCTATTGTCTCACGTCAGAACTTTCGAAATGACTGAATCCCCTTAACAGGCAACTGATATGGTTTGAATCGAAATCCGGATTCGCACATAATTCTGTAGCCACATGAGTGACTTGCCGTAAGTGCGTGTCTTGATGGTCGTCGAGTACTCGAGTCGAACACTAAGACTCTGCAATGCACAGGCCCTTCGGGACATTTCGCTTATAGACGATGTGACTCTTAAACTTCCGTCACGGTTTCCGCGGTTTCCACAGGCTGGTTGTTAGTTTCGCAGCAGTAACCACTGGCCGCAGCCCCAGCAAATTGTGTAGCTCGTAATCCATGCGAACCCAAGTAAGCTTGCGTCTTGCATCACCCTAATTATATGGTCACCTATAAGATACTAATCCATCATTTAGGTATTAGAATAAGATATGACTGGAAGATAGGAATTTCAACTATCGATGTCTAGCTACCACCTGCCTCTCTGCGTAATCTTCAACCAGAAGTCATGCGTTATCCAAAATCCAGCACTCCACAATCTCATCGGCTTTTCAGGCTTTGCAATAGCAAAATCGTACCTGCGCAGAAGCTGCAGGTAAAGACGTCAGCAAAAGGTTTGATACAATAAAGAAAAAAATAGGACCTTACCTCAACGAAGATCTTGTTCAACTCCATCAACGCAATATTTCTCCCCATGCAATAAAACTTGCCATACCCAAAGACCATGTCGGTAGTTGACATCATCGCCTTATATCTTCCTTCATCATCGGACATTGCTGCCTCTATCCACCTCTCTGGCCTGAACAGATGTGCGTCAGGTCCAAAAATGTCCTTCGATCGGCCGATGCTGCACACGTTCTCCCCCAGTTGTGTATTAGGGGGCAACCGATATCCATGGACGATGTCTCCTTCTGATGGGACCTGCTTGCTGACGATGCCAGTAGACGGTGGGTATAGACGGAGACCTTCGCGGATTACAGCTTGAAGATATGGCATGAATCTCGCTTCCGAATCTTTGATCGGAGAGCTAATCATCTTCTTCGAGACTAGTGTATCAATCTCGGCTCGGAGGGCTGTGAAGGCTTGCGGGTTGGATAGGAGTGACAAGAGAATCATACGGATCGCCGTTGCTGTGGTATCGGAACCAGCAATGCTATGGAAAGTCAGCTTCTGAACCTCAACCGATCAAGCCCTTCATGTGAAGACAGCACTCACGTTTCAACGTAAACTTCCTGTGTAAGCTCTTCTCTTGTCATACCAGCATTTATAAATGACTGGATCATGTCCCGGCCGGGCTTCGTATCCGGAGCCAACCGTCCATCAACAAAGGTTTTGGCAAACCTGAGCCAAGTATGTCAGTCCTCCCACTTACTCAAATGATCTAGGTGTTCAACATCCACTCACCCCATAAGCGCCCCAAATCCAGCTGCGTCTCCGGACTTTGGCAGCCCCAGATTGAGAGGCCAACTGTGCATAAGCGTAGCCAACCATGGCACGTTTCCCATAGTGATCATGACCGGAAAGAAGGCGTCTTTCGTGGCAACATACTGATACAGATCTCGATCTTCTTTCAGGAAGCCGTATGGGGTGCCGAAGCCAAGCTCGCTGATAACATCAAGGGCAAAGTAAGTTGATTTACTAGCCATGTCCATCGGTCTAAAGTCCTTTGCAGTGGAGATATACTTGCGGTCGATGAGGTCAACGAACGCGGTGATATTCTTATCTATGCCGGCTTCAAAGCCTCCGTTCTCCAAGCCCGAATACTGCAATTTTCAGTCAGCAAAGAAAGAGGTTCTGACACACGCTGAGTACAGCGAAACTTACACCAGGCCCCATTCTGCTCTTCAAATACTTGCGCTTCTCTTCATCGCGCATCGAGAACAAATGATCCTCTCCCGGAGTGGTTCTTCCGACTGCATACCACTCGCCCTTGGTGTACTTACTGCGAGTGCCGGCGATCTTTTTCAACGTGTCTCCATCGCTGAACATGACGGTATTGGGACCGATACGAACCAAGGGGCCTTGAATTTTGGGTCAGCTTATCCGCCGCATCGGGCATGAGATGTGGAAATGCTCCTACCGTATTTCTCATGCAGTTCCATATAGTACTCATGAACCGACCCATTTAATGCAGCTCGCGCCATCGAAAACCCAGTGATTCCATGCCAGAATGGCCCAGGGACATGGGACAGCCGATACCAAGAGTAGAATTCCTTCGCCAGCAGCCCCAAGAAGACTACGACGGCGAGTATCAGAACAACAGCCATCTTTTCGGTCGTGATATCCTCAAAAACTCGATGGATTTGATGGATATTGTAGATGTTGAAGAGTCAAAGTAAGGTTCTCTGGCAATGGAAAACGGCGGAGGGGTTGGAGTCTCAGCTGCTAGTCGAGAGCTACCTTAGTGCCATGTGCCATCCATGCAGACGCCGCTTTCGGTGTAACCCCACGTCTCCAAAGCTTCAGGTCGTCACATTTCGCTTCTGAGCCGCTCAAGTGACACCTCATTTAAGACGCCTCGCTGACTAAAATGAGACGTTCGAGAGGACCACGAGACCTACCCGCCAGCCCAGGCCAAAAGAGGTAAAGCTGAATAAGATAAGATGGGATTTCCTGCACTCGAAAACCGCCAGAAGAATCTCGACTGAACATCAGCTGACGCTTCTGAGTGTGCGCGCTTATCAGTCCTCCAGCCACGTCAGGTCTTAAGAATTCCTTCGATACTGTAATCATGAGACCTGGTTCGACTAAGTCAGGTTGAGGATAAAATTCGAAAGTCCTGAGATAAGGCCCTCACAACAAATTGTAACAACAACATTAAGGGAGGAATCTGGCATCAGTGCATCAATGCCTGCCGCCGACAAGGGCCAGAAAATCGATACAGGACTGGTTCGCCGCATTATTAACAGAAAGGTGAGTTTTGAGTTTTCAGTCGAGATTTATTGCAGTTATAGTCAAGCTACCGCCAACACGTCCCTTTGGCCCAGCGACCCGAAAATTCCATATTAACCTCTCGATGCACACCGATATATAATCGCCGTCCCCACTCAGGCATTTCATCCTGATGATTTCACACACAACCTCAATCTCGGCCCGAAGCTCACCGATCTTGGTCTCCTGTGCGCGCGCGAGCCTAGTATAGGCCAACGAGGATGTCACCTCGGACCCGAGCCGTGAGGTGAACCTCGGCTTCAAGGTCAAGCTTGATACCGACCATGAGGCCGGCGTCCTTGAGCTTGCCGTTGTCGTCAACGGGACCTTTGAGGAGGTTTCCTGCCAAAGTGTCGTATCAGTCTTTTGTTCATGGACTATGAGAAGAGTGTGAGATAGTAGAGGGGAAGACCTTACCGATGGGTCCGTTGGCGGGGCCGGAGAGACCGGGCATGGGGAGAGAATTACCGAAGCCGCTGTTCTGGTTGTTGGTGTTGTTGTTGTTGATGGACTTGGTGTTGTTAGTGTTGTTGAGAGACGAGTTCGGGTTGCTGGTGCTGAGAGAGTTGTTAGGGTAGCTGCTGTTGCTCGTGCTCGAGTTGAGGGGGTTGCTGGAGCTGGTGGTAGTGGTAGACGGGTTAGAGGTGCTGGTGCTGGTCGGGGGAACCGAGTTCTTGGTTCTAAAAGGGGAGCAAAATTCAATTGGTCGTGGATTCGGACCTGTTGGGCTGTTGGTCATACTTACGGGGAAGACATGGTTGCGGTGGTGGTTGACCGGGGACGTGGAGGGGGTAATAGAGGTGGAGTGGATGGACGAGGGGTTGAAGGTCGAGGAGACGAAGGTCTAGGAGACGACGGGCGGGAGGGCTGTGAGAGCGAAGATGGCGGACGGGGCGAGGCCGGACGATCAGGAGATGACGGTCGTGAAGAAGACGGCGATCCTAGGCTTCGTACGTGGATGAACTTGAGCGATGGTCTCTGGCGAAGCTCAGGCTTTTCAGGCGGTGGCTGCTGGTCCGGCGGAATCTTGTCGAGAGACTGCTCGGAAGGAGATCTTTTGCGAGAGTGCCTGGAGGCCGAGGTGCTATGAGACTGAGGAATCTTGGTGCTGCCGAGGAAGAAGACGGCCATGACAGCTGGGCATCTGCTTCCTCTTTTATCCTCTGCTCGACGGCCATGAAGTGAGACATTGTCGCACAAGACTAATATGAATATTGGAGAACATCATCCAATTTTCCTTTCGTCCGGACGTCGCCGTCGTACGCTGCTGTAGCCCTGCTGCTGTCGCCGCCGCTGGGGGGATTCTCGACAAGGATGCCATAGGAACCTGGCGGTGGAGATTTCTGCGATGGAGAGACAGCTCATTGACTCTCTGTCCGACGGGATATTTCCCGCGCAGCTCCCAACAAAAGAAAGCATATCTTCGCTTTTAGGGGTGATGCCTGCTGATCGGTGAGCTTTCCACTCCAGGGGAAAGGCTTGAGCGGAATACATCGGGAGCAAAGTTCTGCCAGACACTGGCATAAATCCATCCTCCGTTGGGCTGCATTGACACCCTTTTCCTACCTATCGAATACACAACAGAGACATCACCTAGACGATTGGAGAGAAAAAATGGTAGCACAATTTATCGTCGCCTTCTCGGCTGTCTTCGGCATGGCGGAAGCTATCCGACACACACAACAGTCAGCCAGGAGGAAAGAACATCGCAGCCGGAAGAATAATCTCATTATCCGTTGCCGCAAGTCAACTTCTCACTCCCCAGATATCCACGGGAAACATGTAGTCCTCTCAGGAGACAAGGTATCTCAGATTCCAGTCACACCAGTCTCGTTCCCTTGAGTCCTGAAATAGATTTGCTAATGAAGGCTGCTTGCTCTCTTTCTTAGCTATTTGTCGACACCGGGACTGATCCCGATTCTGCATTTGGACACCAGTTTGCGGGCTACTTCCTGCCGTACCCAGACAGCCAATACGCCGGTCTGGTCTCAACTATTTGCGACGAGCCGCCCATCATGAACTGGATTTACGTGGATCGTGACACGTACGAGGTCAAGTTCGGGACCCGGCCGTACGCTCAGCACAACTACACGGGCCCCTTCGATTGCACTAGGCAAGACAAGCGACTCACATTCGCCAGTTGGGAAGGATTCTGCGTCGTGAAAACAGGGAACTTTTGGTCTCTCTACTTTGACGTCGAGCAGGATGGGCTCAAGTCAAAGCTCCCTGAGGGCGTGACTGCCCTTGAGGTGGATCTCTTGCGCGTCGAGGTGCCTGTTAAGCCGGTCAAGCCTGAGGAACAGGAGCAGACTGACGGCAAAGAGAGCAAAGAAAACGGTGGTAGTGACAGCAGCAACAATAACGACAGCGGTACCAGCCCGCAAACGGGAGCAAATGAGGTGGAGTTGGAGTCTCCCGAGGTTGACTGATGTGTGGAGATACCGGGGGGCGAGGGCAACAAGGGAAGGCCGTTCATTGCTTTGAGGGAATCTTCCGAAGTAGAACAATCAACGTGTTGTTCAGAACAGCTTCATGAATGGAGAAACAATTTCATGTCATTAATCCCAGCTAATGCCTTGCCAAGTCTGAAAAGTGTGGTCCATCGGACGATTCCCGCTCCCGATTCGCAAGGATCCATGTATCACATCTTTTCCACGGCGAAGAAAACCACGATCTTCAATGGCAAAAGGGGGAAGTCCCAGCCGCCCCAACCCCGGATTCCATATAGGTACCTTTCTTGAGCCTTGCCCCATGGGTGTTTCACCCAAACTTGCAGTTGCCCGCCCTGCCACGGTGAGATATCGCATCCTTCGTCGAGACTGGATTTACGACCCGGGCGCGGTCTGCGAATGAACAGGGGTCATGCAGATCTCCCGCTGCTGGTCTTTGCTCGACTCCATAACCCGCGAGCTGAAGTCGGGACGAAGCAGTCCCTGCGGTCAGGCCTTATCCCAGCACCGATCATGGAGCCGTCATCGTAAATCTGAGCTTGACTTCCGGCTTTTACCTATACGACACGCACATCAAAGCTGGTCTCCATACCCTACCTTACGGGCACCTCACATCGCGGCGTTGTGGAAAGTTCTTTCGTCCTCATCTTGCCGAGATGATACCCGCCCTATTGTCCGTTGTCCCTGAGACATTAATGGCGCCAGCCCTGCTGCATGGCGTGACTTTGAAGGTTTGTGCCCACCTTTTCCCGGTTCCGCTGCGAGTGCGGCCGACGGCTGAGGCTCGAGAAAAGCAATGCCGCGGCGCTTAGTCCTTACAATGGGGGACCCGCATTGTAATATCGTGCCAGCTAACCGGAATTTGAATTCGCTGTAGAAGTCACGCCACATTCGAGGTTGATGATTTCAATTTCATAATTTTTGGGCGGTCAAGCTGAACTCGGGGTTTCCTAATCGACTCATTCATCTTGTATTTGCAATTCACTGGACCCTTTCCTTTTGTTTTTGTTATTCAAGTCCTTCATACTCCGTGCGAAATCACAACTCTTCGCCTTACTGCTTGCAAGATGATCTGGTCTGACAAATCCACGTCCGAAGAGAATGAACCATTTTCCTCGCAAAACCCAGCAAATCAACGTTGAACAGTCGCAAGCCTGGTGTGTTGGCAGATACCCACCTAGATCGTTACCCCACACCCAGCCTCACCCGCACTACCTGGCGGGATCAACCTCGCGCATGCCGGGTCCCTACGGCGGTGGAAGCTCGTGGGAAGTATTCTTAGCGGGACCAAGACTCACGACTCAAAATCCAGGAGCAGGAGAGGAAAACAGAGAGCGGGGTGAGACCTCAACCCGGGCCGGTCCAATGTTTACAAGCCTGAGACCGGGCTGTGGTCTTTGCACTTCGCAGAGGCATAGGAGTGGACTTGCCGCTGCGCTAAGAGATGCTACTATTGTTCTTGTACGATTGAGAGCGCCATTGGGAAACCACGACGGACCTCTCAACTCCCTTTGCAAAACTCTGCAAAATTTCATGTCTTCACAACAGCCCATTATGCCAGACAGAGCCGTCAAACCCAGACTTTAGTCTTTGCCCGGTGCTCAATCTCCTCCGTGCCAGACTCCGCTGGATTGAGCCGGCTCCTCCCGGCCCTCGACCCCGGCGCCGCCGAGAGGCCCCAAGATCCACTTCTCGGGATGTTGTGCAGAAACTCTAACCCGTTGCTTAGGGCTCCTTACCTAGCATCCCGGAAAACATCTTGACTATGCATCCACCTCCAACGTGCGTAAGCCGTGGCAGCTTCGACCCTGCCAGAAGCCTTTGGGTTCAGAGAGTTTCGGGGCTTGGCGGCTCAGACATTGGGAAGCATTGCAGTGTCCACACCGGAGCCCGGCGAGATCCAGCCACACGACAAACTCCCAGCAAGGCCCAGCCTTGTCTAGATCTTTCGCTTCCCGCCTCGTCGGACTCGCTGGCCTCGCCGTCTCAGCCGAGTGACTCGCAAGGCCGTGGGAAATAAGACGAGTACGCTGGGCCGACATCACCCGAGCGGCGAGCTGGAGGAGGGCCCGCTATTTGATCCTGCAGCCTGCCGCAGTGGCCTGATTCCCCAAGGCTTCGTGGCCCTTGGCAAATGGTATATCCTGGTTGTGTCTCGAGCCTCGAGGCCTCGAACTTGTATCCTTGCCAAGGCTTCGTAAATATTATCCAGAGAATAACTGGCATTGAGTTTTCTCCGACAGGCGTTTAGGTGAGACGCGTACGTGCTGTTGTACTTGCCTCGCTGATGCAAAGTCATCATCCAGTCTTCACAGTTCACATCTTGAAGGGCCACTGCATGATCATGCGATCATGCTCGGGTAGATTCAAGACTCCCTAGAGTCTCCCTTCTTTGCTTGTTCCTTTCTGTGGTCATATCCCAGCCAAAGTTGAATGGGAATCAAAGGTGCCAACCGCGCATAGCGGGCTCACAACCCTGTCTACAGTATTCTCCTTCCAAAGGGGCGGGACTCTCGCCGATCACTTTCGGGAGATTTACATGCTCCCACATGAGCATGATCTGATCTCGGGTAGGTACATTAAACACTTGCACCCTCATTGGCCCAACAGCTGTGGAATTTCAATGACGAGACCATAGGTGCATATTCTCGTTAATTTCCAACGTGTCAATGGCGCACCTGCAGCTCGGATAACTGTCGATCAAACAGAGATCGTCTCCCGCGGCAAGAAATTCGGCAGTGACCGCTCTCTCAGGTCTCATGGTAAATCGTAAGACGATGTGAGCTTCCGCAGTGAATAGATACATGTATATGGCAACATCTTGATTGGGTGGCCATCAAGGTTGCCTTCACGGCGTAAGGGGTTCTCTAGAGGGGGGTTAGAATGTGGTGCAACAGTCATGAGCAGAATCGTTGTGGAAGAATAAGGGTCAAAGTGGACTAAGACCACTCTTTATTAAGACTAGAAGGTAGTAGGTATCAATATTATATTTTAGGAAAAGGCTGCATTCGTTTGCCGTGCAGCACGGAGACCGTGGTCCTCTATAGGTAATTACATAAGAATAGACATTAGACCCCCCGCTCAATCGTGATTTATGTTGACTTGAAAGAAACCGTCGCATTGGACTTTTGCAACTTCTCGAGCTCATCCTTGAGGATATACAAGCTCAATCTCACACCGGCACCACAGTACTCGGTACTGTTGCCAGGACACTTGAACGAGCAGTCCTTAGCCGTTACGTTGGCCGCCGGGGTGGTGCCACCTCCGCCACCGATGTTGAGGGCGTCGCCGCACCAGCACTCACGACCGTACTCGACACCAGCGTAGTTCTTGTTGTAGCAGGCGCTCAGACACATGCTGATCGTCATGTTGTCGCGGTTGATGATCTGGGCCGGGAGGAGACGGCCGACTTGCGGCTCGGAGAAGCAACCGTAGTAGGTAAAGTTTTCATTGCCGGTGGAGATGACTGGTCCGGTCGGGGTGGGGGTCGCGGAGGAGGAGGTTGATGTCTTGGTTGACGATGTGGAAGTGGAAGGAACCGAAGGGGTGGCCGAGACCGATGAAGTAGCTGATGTGACAGACGAGGTGGCCAAGAGGCTGGTGGTAGAAATAGTGGATGAGGTGGCCGAAGCCTTAGCAGTCGCTGGGACGGACGAGTTGCTTGCTGAAAGAGTGGATGCGACAGCCTCGGCCGTCACTCTAGCACTAGAGGTGGTAGAGTTGGATGGAGTCAAGGAAGTGGTCGTGCTGATGGTGCTGTTAGACGCTTGCTTCTCGGCCAGAGGAGTTTCGGTGGCGGTCGTGGTCGTGGTCGTTGTTCCATTGGACGCGGGTGCCAAGGAGGCAAAGGCAGCGGCAGTGGTTGTAGTCTCGGCCGATGTGGTCGTCGCAGCCACCGGCGAGTACATGTAAACTTGGAGTCGGTCACCGGCACCACAGAATTGTGTGCTGTCGCCCGCGCAGGGGAAAGAGCAATCTTTCTGGTTCGCTGCGAGAGCGCTGCCCGTGCCGAATTCATCGCCACACCAGCACTCCCGTCCATACTCCGTACCGAAGTACTTGAGGCCCTGACAGAAACCGCCGCAGGACTCAAGGGTCATTGAGTCATTAGCGTACGTCCGAGAAGAGAGAGCGCGGACGCCAGTTCCCTCGGTATAACAACCTTGGAAGAGCCAGTCGCCAACCCTCTCGTTTGCTGGAGGAGCGGTCGAAGTCGGGGCGGCTGTAGTCGTCGTGGTAGTGCCAGTCGGGACTGCACTGGTAGGCTCAGGCAAGGCGCCATCGAGCTTGTACAGGTTGAGCCTGGAAGGTCCACCGCAGTACTCGGTGCTATTATCCGCGCAAGCCATGCTGCAGTCGGCAGCAGGGGCGGCAACTGAGGCAGCGGCCAAAGTGTTTCCGCACCAACACTGTCTCATCGTTAGTTGAAGTGTTCTCAAAGTCATTTATGGGAAAAATTTATAACTGACCTCTCCACCGTACTCCAAGCCGACATAGGTATACCTGCTAGCGGCACATGCTTCGACACACAGAGCAACAGTCTTTCCAGTTGTTGTGACTAGGTTAGGCAGGGCGCGTGTGTCGGCGGGCTCAGTGTAGCAACCCTGGCTCACGTACTGACCGACACCAGGGTTCACCTCAGGGCCCGATGGGTTCGGGTTCGGCGTGGGAGTTGTCGTGTTACCGTCCCATTGTACAGAGTCAGCAAAGACGGAGATGTAAGCTCCACCTTCGTTGGCTCCGAATCCGTTACCACCGCAGATTTGGTTGAGGTCGCCGCCGCAGTCGAAGTTGCAGTTGCGATCGTCCACCTTCAGCGTGGGGATGTTGGGGCCACCCCAACATTCAGTGTGATACTGAGTACCGCAGAAGACGGACCCCTTCTCAGCACAAGCAGCGATACACTTGCCGTTGGTGCTCGTAGCGTCGCCGTACAACTGGTTTGCAAGCTGGCGGCCGGGGTTGTTTTCCTTGTAGCA